ACAGGCATCAATAGATTATGGGATGGAGCCTCCACAAACTGTTTTAACTCAAAGGACGCCACAACTAATAAAGCACCCACAAAAATCTAGGTTACACGTCCAAACTTTGTTTTAAGGGTTTAAAATCCCGGACGAGCCCCCAAGATAATCTTACCTGTTACAACATTATGATAATTCCAACTTTTGCTGTGAATAATGTCAGGAGACTAAACTCACAGTTAACGCACACCTTTTTACCAACAGATGGCAACCTCTGTACAATATTTGAATCAGCAGTTTGTTGCCATGCATAATTTTATTTTAAAATTCTAATTACACACTCTCACAGCTACCAGACTCCTCCAAAGCCTTTTGAAAACTCCACTTTAACACCAACCTCACAGTAAAGCTGGTGTGAGAATGTGTTGTTTCTTTAGGTTGTTTTATGTCTGAGCATTAGTCGCAGCCATCAAGGCTACAACGCCGAGGATGCTGGGAAGCTATTGAGTCTCAGATAAAAGCATCCATCTGAAAGCTCAGTCATAATGGACTACGCTGAATCTTCGTCCTTGCTAGCTTCAGCTCTAACAGCGTGATTTTGCTATTTTAGTGAAAACATACAGATGTCACACTGAGCAATGCTCTCTGTCTGACACGTTCACTTTGAAATTTCACTTAAAGCCTCAAATGAGGCTTTGAAAAATAAAAAATGGATGGGTTCTTTTGCAGCTCCTTCCTGATAAGAGGTGACTGTGCAGCTTGTAGTTTGGAAGACTTTGCTGTGAATTTATTCCAAATGGGATTCACAAATAGTTGGTTCCTAATAAAAAAAATCTTTATCTACGTTTGTTTTTTTTTTATCTTGGGCTAGATGCTTTTATGCGCCCTTCTAAGAGCAGAACATAAAATAGTTTCCAGGTACTCTCTCAGAGTAATTTATGCTCGGTTACACAAACAAGCTTGGGAATGAACTACCCTTTTCCAAATACAAAGGCTGTGTTATAAACTTGACCAAAGAAAACTGACTCAAAGCTGAGTGGGTTGGAAGGGTGAGCGTCATGGGAGGACTAATATATATATATACATCTTTCTTTTCAATTCAGCCAATAAGTATATTTTTCTCAATAAGGCACTTTTTTTTTTGTTGTGTTCTAAGGGAAACAGCATTCTTCCTGCAGACCCATCATTCACACCATTGTTCTTCCTTTTTCAGATTCATGAGCAAGAGCAAACAGTGCAAAAATGTCATTTTCATTATCCAAACCATCAACAAATAAATATTTTTAATTGTTTGCCTGTTCCATCATAAAGCCTCACAATGGTCTTCATGATCAGAAATGGAGAGGGTTTATTTTTTAATAAGAAATTTTGGTTTGGTAGGTAAAGATTATAAAAACAACTCTGACTACTTTTATTGTCAGCATTAGTTAAAAACATGTTTCATTTGCCTATTTTGATCATCTTTTGCCAATTGTTGAAATGTTCATTAATAAATAACTTGTTTTTTCTGCATAGTGTCATCGACACAACTAGAAAAGTTGATTATGTGTTCATAGCTTCAGTTAAGGTGTTATTTATGAATAAAAATTCTCCAATTGCATCATTCAGTGTAAATATACTAGAGAGAATTTGCTGATTCACCTTAAATGGTTTGTATATTGAGAAAATGCAGTACAGTAAAATTAGCAGATTTTCTAATGATAATTAAACACTACAGGTTGTCCACCCTCTGTTTGTGCTAAGCTAGGCTAACCAAAACGAGGTCTGAAAAACAGTACCTACAGTACCTCCTAACAGTTATTTAATCATGTAGAAATATGAATAAAACATGGTAATGTTGTGTTGGTGCCATTGCTGAACTACTAATCTAGAATTATTAAGAAGACCAAAGAATGTGTCAAATCCTGACTTGACACAGGAAGTTAAGTGGAAGTTGAGCCCAAAACAAATCGAATGCCCCCTAGGGGATAATTCCAGTAAAAATTTTAGTAAAAAAGTGAAATATTTTCTAAAACGCAAAATTAAAGGTGTGTGTCACTGAAAATTAATTATTTTAATTATTATTTCTGATTATAATTTGTCACTCTGAGTTTTCCATGCAGGCTGAACATGAAAATAATCTCCTTTCTATCTCCTGCATTTGCATCTGCAACTTTTGAATTTAAAAATCTTGACAGATCTACGTCACACTGTCACTTAACATTCATGGACTCACCCATTTTGGTTTGCAACAGGGAAGGCTGTCGTTGATTTAGCGTCCAGGAAACAGCAGAGGATATCTCGGCTAGTAGAATCTAAATGTTAGCATTCGCAATTCCACAACACAGAAGTACACCCACCTAAAGGATTATTAGGAACACCTGTTCAACTTCTCCTTAATGCAATTATCTAATCAACCAATCACATGACAGTTGCTTCAATGTATTTAGGGGTGTGGTCCTGGTCAAGACAATCTCCTGAACTCCAAACTGAATGTCAGAAAGTGGAAGAAAGGTGATTTAAGCTATTTTGAGAGTGGCATGGCTGCTGGTGCCAGACGGGCCAGTCTGAGTATTTCACAATCTGCTCAGTTACTGGGATTTTCACACACAACCATTTCTAGGGTTTACAAAGAATGGTGTGAAAAGGGAAACACATCCCGTATGCGGCAGTCCTGTGGGTGAAAATGCCTTGTTGATGCTAGAGGTCAGAGGAGAATGGGCCGACTGATTCAAGCTAATGGAGGAGCAATTTTGACTGAAATAACCACTCGTTACAATCGAGGAATGCATCAAAGCGTTTGTGAAGCCACAACACGCACAACCTTGAGGCGGATGGGCTACAACAGCAGAAGACCCCACCGTGTACCACTCATCTCCACTACAAATAGGAAAAAGAGGCTACAATTTGCACCAGCTCACCAAAATTGGACATTTGAAGACTGGAAAAATGTTGTCTGGTGTGATGAGTCTCGACTTCTGTTGAGACATTCAAATGGTAGAGTCAGAATTTGGCGTAAACAGAAGGAGAACATGGACACATCATGCCTTGTTACCACTGTGCAGGCTGGTGATGGTGGTGTAATGGTGTGGGGGATGTTTTCTTGGCACACTTTATGCCCTTTATTGCCAACTGGGCATGGTTTAAATGCCACGGGCATCCTGAGCATTGTTTCTGACCATGTCCATCCCTTCATGACCACCATGTATCCATCCTCTGATGGCTACTTCCATAAGGATAATGCACCATGTCATAATGCTCCAATCATTTCAAACTGGTTTCTTGAACATGACAATGAGTTCACTGTACTACAACGGCCCTCACAGTCACCAGATCTCAACCCAATAGAGCATCTTTGGGATGTGGTGGAACGGGAGCTTCGTGCCCTGGATGTGCATCCCACACATCTCCATCGACTGCAAGATGCTGTCCTATCAATACGGGCCAACATTTCTAAAGAATGCTTTCAGCACCTTGTTCAATCAATGCCACATAGAATTAAGGCAGTTCTGAAGGTGAAAGGGGGTCAAACACTGTATTAGTGTGAGGTTCCTAATAATCCTTTAGGTGAGTGTATTTCAGGTTTGTTTTATTTGTGGAGATAAAACATCAACATTGCAAAGCAAATAGAGTCAGTGGAAGAATGCTGTTGTTAGCCAATCTGTCTTGATCTGTCCAAATATCAGTGGATAAGGCTCCAAAACCTGCCATCTGAAGGTACCACTAGCTGACTTGTACTTCCTGAAACAGGCGCATCTGACCGATAGAGTTGCACATCCACAAGAAGGAGATGCCAATCAAAGAAGAAAGAAAATATCATTTCTATAGAGAATATTCAGAGAATACCTCTCAGTTCCCAGACGCACCTCTGTCAGCTAAGCACACTAACCTAGCTTTAATGCTAACTCAACTTGCGTTGAAATAGTAACAGTCTGTAAACTCCAAGCTAACTGTGAAAGAGAAGGGAGGGGAACAAAAATGGATTCATCTTTTTTGTACTGGAAATAAGCGATTAGCCTAGTGTTCAACTTTACGCTACGTCAGACAATCGTTTTAGCCCGTTGTAGCATTAGCTGGGGTAAGATACACTCACAAATGCCAGATTCATGCAGGTTTTAGATGTTTCTCTGTTTAAACAATACCGATTTGATTAAAACAAGTGATTAGCAGTGACTGCAGAGCCCAATTGAAGGCTTAGAGGATGTGTCTGAGCATGAATGTGTCAAAAACATTACTTGCCCGTTAGCACTAAAAAGCCATATGTGTGCATGCACGGTACGATGTGTGGCTTTTAGTTCCTTCCAAAAGTGGTGGGGGCTATAGCTATTCAAAATCTCCTGCTCCTTTCCTTGGTGATGTCATGCTACAGACCCCAGCTTTAGTAAAATACCATAATTGTGTGGAAGTGAGTATGCAGGACTTTCAGGTCTTTGCTTCTTTGTATGAGAAAAAGGATATAAAGGAAAATTTCACAAACCAGCACTTTTTTTTGTGTATTTCCCAAGAATGAAACTCAACTTGAAGAAGTGCCAGAAGTGAGATCAGTTTGTGATGTTTGAGTTAGAAGGCACCTGCCAACACAGTTTGCAACCCAGCACAGTTTTATCTTAAAGCAGCTTGAACTTGTGCGCCCTGTTCTGAGTCTGATCTTCATCTTTTTGGGTCGCTCCGCTGTGTTGAGAGTGTGACGGAGGTTTGACAGGAGGAGGTCATGTGGGGGGTTAGTGGTCACATCAGTATAGACTATTATTGACACCAAGTGCTGACACATAGATCTGTCTCAGCTCTCTGATGTGGCCTCACCTTCCCTTTTTGTTTTTCTTACAGATTTCTGAGTTCAGCTTAACATTTTATGGGATTTAAAGGAGCTTTTTGGTGAGAAAGAGCGATGATGAGGCCATTCAGAGGCTACAGTCCTCTCACAGGAGGCTGGACAAAACTACGTATGTTAAAGGGACAAATCATGTTTACAATCAAAACACCACAATGAGCACTGATGCAACACACAAAAAATAACTATAGGAAAAGAGAGGACAGCCACGTGAAAAGCAATATTTATTTTATTTTAAAATAATCTTTTGTCATTTAACTTCTGACCGTAACTTTGTTGCCATGCCTTAAAAAGTTTCTACTTCTAAACATCTCAGGGCTTCGGAGCAGAAGTCCTCCACTGAGGCCTACATCTTCGACTTTAAATAAAACTCTTTAATAATAATATTTATAATATTCATTATTTTCTGCAACATTATCTCATTTACAAAAAAAATTGAAATATTCATGGCAAATAAACAAAAGAGCGTGGCTCAAAAATAAGAAATAAGACGATGTGGTTCTTTTGATGTGTCGCTTCCCCATGAGCCGAATTAAGCTGGTTAAATGAAAACGTTTATAAATGACAATAAATGGTAAATATATGACCTAGCTGATGGATACATGGTGATTTTTTAAAGAATTAAAATCTTGTGATTTAACAAAAAGCTCAAAGAGTCACCTCGCTGCATTTCTGCCTTCTCTTGATGAACATCGTTGGCGTAATTGGACACTTCTTTGGGTTTTCGCGACGATGATGAACGTGTTAGTTCAACATCAGGAGGAGAAAAGCTTTCCAGTGGGGTCGGTGCAGACTCAAACTCAATCCAGGATGACAACAATCCAGTGTGTACAGACATTCTTTTGCTTAAAGAAAGGAACGCTATTAACCTTTGGCACAAAGTTAATTGCTTTTTTTTTTCTTTTGTCCCCGAGGTGGATTTAAACAGTGCACGAGAATTTCTGGTGAGCCGAAAAAGCTTTGCCCTTACGTGATTAGAGCGGTCAGACCCTGATTTTTAACATTCAGAGGTGAAAATGTTAAATTGCTTCATATATTCACCTCTTAATTATGTTTCTGGTCATCGTTTAAAATGACCCTAATTCCAAAGGTGTGTAAAAGTCACGACCGGGGGGTTTAGATCTATTTTCTTATTTCAGACAGACTTCTGGGGATTTAACTCTACCTCCAGCAGCTTTTTGGGGGGAGTATTAATATAATGATCGCTGCAAGCATCAATAAGATTGTGCAGAAAGAAATGAGGACAAAGCTTCATGAATAAGTGGAATAATTATCCGTAGATTCAAAGCTTGGTCTCCTTAGTGACTTTTGCAGATCTTTAATATTTCAAATGTAATTTTGCATGACAATTTTGCCTCGCAGGTGCAGATTAAAATTAATCTGCAGCTGGTGCTGGACGGAATTCTCCTCAAGTTAATCAAAGCAACAAAAACTAAAGGTGCTGGTGAAGGTTCTCAGTCATCCAGCTCATGGTGATCCAAAGGGGTTTTAAATGAAGACAACTGGACTCTTGGTTTCTTGGAGACTTTTTGCTTCTCATCTAAGGAGCTTTGTCAATTCTGATTGGAACATGGGAGGGCCGATCTTTTAAACTGTTAGCCTGGTGTTAGCCGTGAACTGGACCAGATTCTTGCTTTGCAAACTTTGGTCTAGGAACGTTCCATTGGAACCTCCGCAGCCCCTAGCAGCATTCTGGCTGGCCAATCGCATCTCTCTAAAGGGGTTTCAATCCTATAGAGCGCTGTGATTGGTCCACAGTGGTGAGCCAATCACAGCGATCGTTCATTGTCCACTAGCATGTTGAGATAATTTGAAAGACAACGGTAGAACCCGACCCACGACCGAGAGCCGTCAATGGCGTGTTGCCGGGCTAAATAATATATTTGCCAGGCTAGTCTGTTTTTACTTAAGGAGCTGAAACTACCTATGAATATCAGGAGGTAGAGAGGAGGGGTATTCACACGTAGTTTCAGTTCGTTAAGCAACAACAGAAAGCTACAGTTTAAAAGCTTGACTCTCCCATATTCCTATTCAGAATTGACAAAGCTCCTTGGATGAGAAGCGACACATCTTCATGAAACCAAAGAAGTCCAGTTGGTTTTATTTATAACTCTTTTAGACAAACAAAAGGTGACATGAGGAAATCGGATCCTTTAAAGTTGTAGGAATCATGAACTGACCTCTCTTTTTTACCCACATTCTTAATATACGTTCTGTTTTAGGTAGGGTAGAATTCAGCATGCATTTGCAAACTGAAACCACGTGCATGCATGTCACATGTTAGGTATGCATCTTCTATCTGAGCAGATAGAAACCACAGTTCTTGCATTTCCTGTTGGGCTTCATTGTTCAAAGCATACAGCGCTGCTTCTTTAAGGCCTTTGAGGACACGTAAATGAGCGCCTCTTCACTTGAAGACCAAATTGATGGTGGAATTGAGGAGTCTGCATGTCGCCTACAGGAAACTGTTCTCGTCGTGGTAGTGTGGGAGGGAAGGGAGGTGCACCAGGCAGGACGATAAACAGGGAGGGATTTTAGAGGTGTGAGGGGAGTGCATGTCAAAAATAACAAAAAAGGGGCATTCGGGACGTGGAGACATTTACACGCAAAAGTGCACAACATGTGTTGTTATTTACAAGTACAGCAGTCCTTCAAGTTTCCAGCTGAACGAAAACAACAAAAAAAAAAGAGAACATTCAGAAGATGAGATAACACAGCAGTTTGGGAGAGCAGGTGGAACAAGTCCGTGTTGTTGCCGTGTTTCCCTCTCCATGCTATTTACAGGACTGTACATACACAAGTGCATTTACCTGTTAAGGTTTACATCTCAGCAAAACAAAACCAAGTCCTGACACGGCTGCTGACCACGGGTAACACACGCACGTGCACACTGTCACGCACACACACCTACAAGTATGCGTGCAGGTGAGACTACACAGGCACACGTAATGTTTTATCTGTACACTCATTCTCCCGTAAGAATGAGCCCAATGTCGTCCTCTGATAAGTGCTCTTCAGGTGGTGTGCTTTACCAGTCTGCATCCTCCTCTATGTAATAATCAGGTGTTGAAGTACCATCAAACAGGCCCGGGTCCATGGACTTGCGCTGCTTTCCCCGGGCAAAGACGCGCGACAGCGAGCCCAGCCCCATCTTCTCTTTCTTCTTCTTACGCTTTGCCTCCTCCAGATCTTCTAGGGACTGGTGGGAGAAAAGAGGGAGAGGGCCAGCAGAGGAAAATAAATGATGAATAGATGATCAAAAAAGAACAGAGCGATGCAAGAGCGGAGAAGTCAGTGATGGGGTGCGTAGAGGGCCATAAGCATCAGAGGACGTCACAACACAAAGGGGAAGTGATGCGTCTCATGCTGCCAGGCACGCACTTAGCCAACAACCACCGCAGGATTTCTCAGAGTTTCAAATCATGAGTTTGGAGTGAGAACATGGCAGACAGCGAGGGGTCAAATGTGAACTCAGCTGGAAGGATGGTGACAGGAAACCACAGCAGGGCGGGCAGCAGTAGCTACAAAGGAGGTGGGCAGCTCTTACGTTGCAGAGGGAATGAGTCCGGTGCCGAGGCGAGTTGATGTCGCTGGGCGTGGATGAGCGATCCCCCTCCATCGCCGAGGCATCAGAGATGATGGAGGGCTGGCGCGAGTGGCACGGGCTCACCCGCACAGCTGCCACTAGATAGGATGAGAAGGGAGAGAGGTCATGGCTCGTTTCTGTCTTCAGAGATTTGGACGAAACCTGATCTGCCTCAGTATTGGCATGACACCCTAACATAAAAAAACGAGTAAAAAAATCAAACTAACAAAGATGTAAATGTCGTTGCAAGCAGCTGCAGTTGCTAAGCAACAGTGAAAACAGCTTCACAGAGGTTGAGGGAGTGTGTGCTCATACTGACGGGACTGACTCAGAAAGCTTTGCAATTTGGAGTTTGTGACTGTTCACACGTTTTTCTTTCATTCTGTGACTTTCTCCAGATGTTTCTAATTAGTTAGCAAACGATGCGAGAGCCTGAAGCTGCCCTTAAGAAAATTCTCCAGGACTGGACGGATTTGTATTCTGAACGCTGTGAGAGCATTTCCCTTTGAAGATGCTAGATTGCATCAAAATTACACAAAATTTAGTCTAATTTCTGAATGTGTACAGGAAAAGGAAAAGAAGCTTTTGTGTGTGAGGGATTCTTGTTTTTGTACTGTGCATCTGAAACAACACCGGTCACACAGCAGGTGCTGAATGTCAGAAATGTCGCCCCATTTCGTTGAAGGGCTGCTTGGCTGCATAATGCAGGTCTATTTTCTATCTGTGTGACGACACGATTCAAACTGACTGAGCAACAAAAAGAAAGTGCCAGCTGTATGTGAAATGTGGTTTTATTTTGTATTTTTAGACAAACGTCTGCATGTCAGATGAGCGTTGCGACAGGAGGTGCCGCTTCCTCCTTCGACTCCTGCGATGAACGTCAGTCAGAAAGTAGCAGCTTCGGTTCAGGAGTGGAAACGAGGAGCGGGACTGAAAATGTTGAGTCACAACCCCCCAAAAAAGCATCTAAAGTAAATGTTGCAGGGTTTTCTTTTCCCCTTAGACTAACTCACAATCACAGCTTCACATGCAACGTTCACCAAAGGAGGAAAAACAGAGCGCATGGCATCATCATACTGAGCTGATGGGACGACTGGATGTGTGTAAAGCAGCTGTGTGAGAGCATGCAGGGTAAGCCATCAGTCTGTGTATAGGACGGGGGTGGGACTCGGGTACCTTGTCGGTCAATAGGATGCACTGAGTGGACATAGAGGGTCTGCTGACTCTGTCGGATGGCAGCAGTCAGAGGAAGATCAGCCTGCATCACCCATTCCTGGTTGTTGCCGTTGACGACCGCCTCCGTCGGCATGGCCAAGGAGTGACGCTTGGGCACGCCCTTTGTCAGGGTGGCTAATGACTGCTTGGCCTTAAGACGAAAAACAGAAACATGCACTCAGCTAGATTCCTGTGATTTGGATCGTCCTTCTTTAATAGTTTCAAGGAAAATCAATGTTTATTTTATGTTGCACACTGTCGTCTAGAACTCCTGCATCCTCTGTCTTATTTCTTGTTCAGCTTTTTGTTTAAAATCCCTCTCTCTCTCTATCACTCTGGAGCTGACAAAACAAATAATTAGGTATATGTAAAAAATAAGAAGTGGTAGCATGTCTGGAGGAGGCGTCTGTTGCCATGGGGGTGAAGTTGGTGATGTGTAAAAACAGAGAATCTGAAAATAATTAAGCCATTCTGTAACTTGAATGAATACATTTACTCCGAGGTGCCTTTCAGCAGCAACAATAAGCTGCTGGAGCCTTGGGAGGTGTGCTTATTTTGTGTTTAAAATGTTCCTTGTTTTGCTCTTCATGGTTCTGTGTTTTCTGATTAGCTCTGACATGTTGCTGTTTTAAATTGCTAGAAACATTGCTATTGTACAAATCTTATTATCATGCTAAGCGCAGACAGACGGGCTGCAATTCACCTGCACAATCAGCTTTGCCACAATCACGTCTACTTACCGGCAGCCAAACCATTACCAGCCACAGTCTTTGACATGCAAAACACAACACAGTCACAAATCTTCGAGGTAATTAGGTGTTGCAGTGTTGATGTTGAAATTTTTACCCCAAAACGGTTCTAATTAGATCAAAAAACACATTCAGACCAATCACGGCGGGAATCGCTTTGGGATTGCTGATGTAAGGATTACCGGGATCAGTGAGGAGTGGTTTGGGATTAGTGAAAAGGAAAAAACGTGCAATTTGAGGAGGGGGAGACTTCCCAAAATACACACACACACGCACGCACGCACGCACGCACGCACGCACACACACACACACACACACACACACACACACACACACACACACACACACACATACACACACACACACACACACACACACACACACACAAGGCCACAGGTAAGAGACAATTCTGAAGGAGTTTCAGGGTCAAGAAAGGTCAGATTTTCAAACTGGGGGCCTGTCTTACCGCCATGACCCTAGGAGAGGGGTCCCTGTCCTCAAGCCGTTCAAACACTCGGAACTCCAATCTCTGATTGACACAGTTACTCATCTGGGGGGGTTGAAGACAGGAGGAACGGCTGGGCATTTAAAAGCTTATATGTTTGAATTACATGTCGTATGCACACATAAATAGGCAATCACATGGTAGAAAGCCTAAAATAATAAAAATAATATCTCTGAGTTCATCTTAGAGTGAGAGGTACTTTTTCATTCATTCATATTAGAGCCACCGATGATCAAAGTGCACAAAAATTAACTAATGGCTTTCAACCATCTAAGTGGTCTGGTGGTAGAGTGTCTGCCTTGAGACTAGGAGATCGGGGTAGAAATCCTGCTCGGGTCATACCAAAGACTTTCAATGGGAACCAATGCCTCCCTTACACTCGGCTTTAAGGGGTTGGATTGGGGGGTTAAACCACCAGATAGTTCCTGAGCGCGGCCACAGCTGCAGCTTACCCCTTCCTATGGGGATGGATCAAATACGGAGAAGAGTTTCACCAGTGTGTGATGACCAATGTACGGTGGCCATCTGGTGACACTGAGGAAAAAATAAGTAACGCATGGCCACGAGATATTAATGCGTTCAAACGAGATACTGATCTTCCCTCAATGTCACCAGACCGGCACCGTACTAATGGCACTTCTGCTTTAATGAATAAAAAATCTGATAATGGAAGAAAAAAGTAAAAGTTACTTAGGTTGGAGTAAAAAACTTGTTTTAAATAAAGTTTGATTATTAAAAAAAAACAGAAGTGTGTGTAAAATATGAGCTGTCAGACTTTTCGTCCCAGAGTTCAGATCTAAATCTCTTTTATAAGCAAGATTGATTATACTCAGATTTGTCCCTTCTTGCTCTAACAAAAACAGTTATTGGTTTCTTTAGCAGTTACCCAGAAAAGAAAAGTATGGTAAAACTTTAAAAAATGAACATTCAAATGTAAAAACCATGCTAAAAATTCCTACTTTTACTTCAGACCAACTTTTTCAGTGTTTGATTGAATCAAAAGTAAAGTATTCTTGCAAGAATTCGTCATATTTTTGTTTGTGATTTTTGCTTCACATCCTAGACTCTCTTAAGTGTTTAAAGGGGACATAGTATGACTTATTTTCTATTGTCGATACAGAACATGTTCATGATTGTTCATTATTTCCACCAAATCCCCAAATTTCTATTCTTTATAGTTTCAGTCCCTGTCTGATTGAGACGCTTCAGGGCTCTGTCACTCTAAGATAACAGGTTAGAGCTGGGCAGGCCCATCCATCCCCGGCCCAGGCTGCTATAAGCTGAAAAGCTCCGATATCCGGAAGGAACTAACCTTAACCCGCCAGCAGCAGGTTTCCTGTGCACTTAGGAGGTGGTTCTATGCTGTTTTTCCATTTATGACATCACAAATGGGGAGTTTTTGAAATGGCTTGTTTTAGGCACATATTTCCTAAAATCAAACATCCATAGAAGACAAATAAACATTTTTTTTTCATGTTTGGAGTGTTTATGGAGGCAGTAGAGGCCCGATTGACCACAGAAAAGGATGAACACGGTGAATTTTGCAGAATATTTCCCCTTTAAAGTATAAAACCCCAAACTTTTCTATGCATCCTACAACTCAGCTTGAAAGCGTGTTGCGTTTTGACCTGCCTGACTCTGCCACCTCCCATGTGCCTTTCAGTCTCACCATTGCGAGTTCTGCCTCCAGCTCCTTGATGCGGTTCTCTTTGAGTTCGAGCTGTGAACGCAGCATCCCCGTGTGCTCGGTGGCTTCCTTGGTCTGCCGTCGCAGGTCCCACTTTTCTCTTTCCAGCAGGTCTTTCTCCTTAGCCAGAGCCTTTACTGCATCCTCGCTCTCCTAGCAGACACACACATCCTGATGAATTTGTTCACAAGTGGGACCTAAAAAGCTGCAGTGTGGTGAACAGGAACACTAGTTCTGTTTAAATTAGTTGCTTCCCCCACGGCTACATTTGAGATGAAACAATGCCTCCATTTGTCAGGTCCAGCAACCTCTTATAACCTGCTTCAAAGGTAATGTCACAGATGATGAAACGTGCTTTTCAAAATCCTTAAGCTATAACAGAACAGAGTTACACACAACTAAACATCTAATCTTCTTGCATCCAAAGACTGCAGTAAGAGAAGCAGAGGTCGTGCACGTTTTCTGTACGTGTCTACTCATGTCTGTGTGAACGAGGGCCGCCATACTTTTCTGTGCTGCTCGTAGTTGCGTATGAAGTCACGAAGCTGCTCTTCTCGGCTTTCCAGTGTGGCGTAAAGTTGCTGCATCTGATTCACCAGGTCAGCTTTCTCCGCCTTGAGACGCTTACGATCTGACTTCATGGCTGCAAGAGAGGTGGGGACAAAGTGGAGAGGAGTCAAGTTTTAGCGGGTTAGGTCATAAAAAAAAATACTCGTCTGAAAGAGCATCTACAGAAGTTAAAGTTACTGAACCTCTACTTCTCTTATGTAAAACTGTCTGTTTCAGTGTTTGAAGCGGTCAAATGATGACTTCTTAAGTTATGGTTCTATGCTCAATGCCAAACGTATTATGAAGTTTATTGAACTAAATCCCTCGCACATGAAGCAATTACTGCAGTTTCTGTCTAAGCTTTTTCAGTACCTTACAGAATGAGCCATTTCAGGGCTCTGTCACTTTAAGAAAACAAGATGCTGGGTTTCCTCCAGAAAACTCGCTAAGCCCGGCTGACCGTGAGAGCAGGAGGGTGAACACGGATTGCTTCGCTATGCATTGTCCGTGACAGCGAGGGAGGGGTGGGACGCTTGGGCTGGCGGGGGGCTGGAATTGGCCACGCCCACTCATCTCCTGCTTGAACCGCTAAAGGCAGACAGGCTCTGATATCCACGAGAGGCTAGCAGTAGAGTCGCTGCTCCTCCAGCAGCAGTTCTCTCTTAAACATCAGAGGTGGTTTCCTTTTGTGACATCACAAATGAGGACTTTTTGAAACGTCTTCTTTTAGACACTTCGTCTTCGTCTTCGTCTTCCTCCGCTTATCCGGGTCCGGGTCGCGGGGGCAGCATCCCAATTAGGGAGCTCCAGGCCGTCCTCTCCCCGGCCTTGTCCACCAGCTCCTCTGGCAGGACCCCAAGGCGTTCCCGGACCAGATTGGAGATGTAACCTCTCCAACGTGTCCTGGGTCGACCCGGGGGCCTTCTGCCGGCAGGACATGCCCGAAACACCTCCCCAGGGAGGCGTCCAGGAGGCATCCTGACCAGATGCCCAAACCACCTCAACTGGCTCCTTTCAATCCGGAGGAGCAGCGGTTCTACTCCGAGTCCCTCCCGAATGTCCGAGCTCCTCACCCTATCTCTAAGGCTGAGCCCGGCCACCCTACGGAGGAAACTCATTTCGGCCGCTTGTATCCGCGATCTCGTTCTTTCGGTCATTACCCAAAGCTCATGACCATAGGTGAGGATTGGGACGTAGATCGACCGGTAAATCGAGAGCCTGGCTTTCTGGCTCAGCTCCCTCTTCCCCACGACAGATCGGCTCAGCGTCCGCATCACTGCAGACGCCGAACCAATCCGCCTGTCGATCTCCCGATCCCTCCTACCCTCACTCGTGAACAAGACCCCGAGATACTTAAACTCCTCCACTTGAGGTAGGACCTCTCCCCCGACCCGGAGGTGGCAAGCCACCCTTTTCCGGTCGAGAACCATGGTCTCAGATTTGGAGGTGCTGATCCTCATCCCAGCCGCTTCACATTCAGCCGCGAACCTACCCAGCAAGAGCTGAAGGTCAGAGCTGGATGAAGCTTGGAGGACCACATCATCCGCAAAAAGCAGAGACGAGATTCTCCTGCCACCAAACTCGACACACTCCACACCACGGCTGCGTCTAGAAATTCTGTCCATAAAAGTGATGAACAGAACCGGTGACAAAGGGCAGCCCTGGCGGAGTCCAACCCTCACTGGGAACAGGTCTGACTTACTACCGGCTATGCGGACCAAACTCACGCTCCTCTGGTAAAGGGACTGAATGGCCCTTAACAGAAAGCCACCCACCCCATACTCCTGGAGCGTCCCCCACAGGGTGCCCCTGGGGACATGGTCATAAGCCTTCTCCAAATCCACAAAGCACATGTGGATTGGTTGGGCAAACTCCCATGCCCCCTCCATCACCCTTGCAAGGGTATAGAGCTGGTCCACAGTTCCACGGCCAGGACGAAAACCACATTGCTCCTCCTCTATCTGAGATTCAACTATCGATCGGACCCTCCTCTCCAGTACCTTGGCGTAGACCTTTCCAGGGAGGCTGAGGAGTGTGATCCCCCTATAGTTGGAACACACCCTCAGGTCACCCTTCTTAAAGATGGGGACCACCACCCCGGTCTGCCACTCCCTAGGAACTGCCCCCGATGACCACTCAATGTTGTAGAGACGTGTCAACCATGACAGCCCTACAACATCCATAGCCTTGAGATACCCAGGACGAACCTCATCTGCCCCCGGGGCTCCGCCGCTGTGTAGTTGTTTGACTACCTCAGCAACTTCTGCCCCCGAGATCGGACAGTCCATCCCCAGGCCTCCCAGCTCTGGTTCCTCCTCGGAATGCGCATTGGTGGGATTGAGGAGCTCCTCAAAGTATTCCTTCCACCATCCGACTATAGCCTCAGTTGACGTCAGCAGCTCCCCATGCCCACTGTAAACAGTGTGAGCGAGTTGCTGCCTTCCTCTCCTGAGGCGCCGGACAGTTTGCCAGAACCTCTTTGGAGCCGATCGATAGTCTTTCTCCATGGCCTCACCAAACTCCTCCCACGCCCGAGATTTTGCCTCGGCAACTGCCACTGCTGCACCCCGCTTGGCTATCCGGTACCTGTCTGCTGCCTCCGGAGACCCACAGACCAGCCACGCCCTGTAGGCCTCCTTCTTCAGCCTGACGGCTCCCCGAACCTCTGGTGTCCACCAGCGGGTACGGGGGTTGCCACCACGACTGGCACCGGCCACCTTACGACCACAGCTAGCAACAGCCGCCTCGACAATCGCAGAGTGGAACAAGGCCCACTCGGACTCAATGTCCCCCACTGCTCTCGGGACGTGGTCAAAGCTCTGCCGGAGGTGGGAGTTGAAGACCGTCTTGACAGGTTCTTCTGCCAGGCGTTCCCAGCAGACCCTCACTATGCGTTTGGGTCTGCCAGGTCTACGCGGCATGTTCCCTTGCCATCTGATCCAACTCACCACCAGGTGGTGATCAGTTGACAGCTCCGCTCCTCTCTTCACTCGGGTGTCCAAAACATACGGCCGCAGGTCAGATGATACGACTACAAAATCTATCATCGACCTGTGACCTAGGCTGCCCTGGTACCAAGTGTACCGGTGGGCATCCTTATGTTCGAACATGGTGTTCGTTATGGCCAAACTGCGGCTTGCACAGAAGTCCAATAACAAAACACCGCTCGAGTTCAGATTAGGTGGGCCGTTCCTCCCAATCACACCCCTCCAGGTCAAGCTGTCATTGCCCACGTGAGCATTGAAGTCCCCCAGCAGGACAATGGAGTCCCCTGATGGAGCACTATCTAGCACTCGTCCCAGGGACTCCAAAAAGGGTGGGTACTCTGAACTGATATTTGGCCCATAAGCACAAACAACAGTCAGGACCCGTTCCCCGACCCGAAGGCGCAAGGAAGCTACCCTCTTGTCCCCCGGGGTAAACCCCAACACACAGGCAGAGAGTCTCGGGGCTAACAAAAAGCCAACCCCAGCCCTCCGCTTACCCTCTTTTAGACACATAATTCCTAAAACCAAGCACTGGCAGGAAATGAATGAAGTGTTTACAGAGGCAGTAAAGACCCACATGGCAGTACAAAAGGATGTAAAAGGCGATTTTTGCTAAAAAAAAATTAAAAATACAAAGGATCCTTTATTAAATGTCCTCCATTGCAGGACAGCATGGTTTCTCATTCACTTAAAAATATAATAATGTTGAAATCATGACATAATTGATCTAAATGCATTAATAATTTTCATGGTTCAGCTGCATGTTCTGATGTCCACTAACATGAGATTTTTAAATTATAAAAGAATACAGACAACAATGTTTGCAGGATCTCCAAATCCAACTAATGAGGAAATACATTGAACTCAACAAAACAAAAGGGAAACCATTTTTCTTGGTAGTCCATTTTTACCCAACAAAGTCATGTTTTATTAAAAATGTGCAGATACCTTGACATTAGTTTGCATCATACACTGTACAAAAAACGTATTTCCTTCTGCAAAACAGCAAGTGTATTAATGGCCATCAACTATGAAACTTTTGAGTCAAAACATTAACTACACCTGCTGTTGCTGGTCTAACATTGCTTGGCTGCATGCTGATAAGGAGATGATTCACACATGAACCCGTCTGTCAGTCTTCCTTGTGTCTCATTTCTTAAGAAGCAGAAACTCGCTTTTCATCTATCTTCCTGCCACACGCTGCCTGTAATCCTCTGGCTCGACACCCACACATCACGATAAAGAATACAGTCCACAGCGGTTATTTAGATAAGTGCTAATTTTCTCTCCTCAGCTGTGTTTCTTGCTCCACTGTTTGCCAGACATTTACTTTACACGCAAAACAGTGGTGTGAAAAACTATTTGCCCCCTTCCTGATTTCTTATTCTTTTGCATGTTTGTCACACAAAATGTTTCTGATCATCAAACACATTTAACCATTAGTCAGAGATAACACAAGTAAACACAAAATGCAGTTTTGAAATGATGGTTTTTATTATTTAGGGAGAGAACAAAATCCAAACCTACTTTGCCCTGTGTGAAAAAGTAATTGCCCCCTGAACCTAATAACTGGTTGGGCCTCCCTTAGCAGCAATAACTGCAGTCAAGAGTTTGCGATAACTTGCTACGAGTCTTTCACAGCGCTCTGGAGAAATTTTGGCCCACTCATCTTTGAAGAAATTGTTGTAATTCAGCTTTATTTGATGGTTTTCTAGCACGAACCGCCTTTTCAAGGTCATGCCATAGCATCTCAATAGGATTCAGGTCAGGACTTTGACTAGGCCACTCCAAAGTCTTCATTTTGTTGTTCTTCAGCAATGCAGAGGAGGAATTGCTGCTGTGTTTTGGGTCATTGTTCTGCTGCAGCACCCAAGATCGCTCCAGCTTTAGTTGACGAACAGATGGCCGGACATTCTCCTTCAGGATGTTTTGGTAGACAGTAGAATTCATGGTTCCATTTATCACAGCAAGTCTTCCAGTTCCTGAAGCAGCAGAACAACCCCAGACCATCACACTACCACCACCATATTTTACTGTTGGTATGATTTTGTCTGAAATGCTGTGTTACTTCTACGCCAGATGTAATGGGACATTTGCCTTCCAAAAA